GACTATGAATACCGGCCATAGTATATCTAGACCGAGTGTTGAGGAGTGGGGGCCGATGCCCACGTAGAAAAGGACATACTCTATTTCGTGCCACTTGCGTTCTTTCTCGCTCGCACAGAGCATAGCGCTCTCTTTCGTCATGCTACGTGCGAGCGAGAGAGAACGCAAGGGGCACGAAACAGAGTATGTCCTTTTCTACGTGCACCTCGGCTCCCACTCCTCAACACTCGGTCTAGATATACTATGTCTATGCTTCAAACAATGTGAAAATTACAAAAGTGAGTAAATTCACTAATTGTTCACTTTTGTAATTTTCACTTTGTTTCAAAGATACACAATCGACCCGCTGTTCCAAGATCTACAGCGACACCAGTACCCAAGAACTAAATAATTTACAGTTTGTGCCATCAGGTTGAGAAATTATAGGCTAGCTGTCAGTCGGTTGTGGGCTGGGGGCCTATTAGGGCCGTGGCATATAGAAAAACTTAAGCAGTAAGACTTAAGACTTAAGAATTTCAACCATACAGAATTTTCAGCGTAGCTTACGTTTTAATATGGTTGCCTTACTGTTCGACCGTGATTGGTCAATTCGCTTACGTCTTAAGTCTTACTGCTTAAGTTTTTCTATGTGCCACAGCCCTTATAGTTCTTGAGTGAGTTTACTCACTTTTCACATTCTCATCTCACGTGACTTTATTCACCCAATTACAAATGTGTCGAGTGAAGCTGCGAGATCACTAGGCACTTCCGGTCTAGTAATCTCACATTTTCACGCTTTCCTTTGATTTTGGCACCAAGCGGCAAATATTTAACTATCCGTCAAGCCATCAATAGAGAAAAAAGAAAAGAAATTGAATCAATTAAACATGAACGTAACGGATAAACAGAAAAAAATAATATTAAATTACATGAAAGATAACCTATGATAATCGATGGAAATATAAAAATTAACTTGAAATAGGTCTCTCATTCGACTCTATATTACAGACTCGTATCTGTATTGTATTATTATTCAAAGTTGCTTCAAAACATCCCAGGTAGCAAAAGTAGTCTGTTTGACGTCATTTTGACCTAATTTGATGTCAAAATAACGTCAAAATGACTACTTTTGCTACCTGGCGTACAATATGTAAAAAAACATTCTAAGACGTTATATTTATATAATTGGCTTCTATTTTGTAACCAAACATTATTATAGCCTTACAGATTATGTTTGTAGCAGTATAATCATACATGTACAGATTTTGTATTACATAAATATAGCGTCATAAATACAGGATTCATCTCTAATGGAACATATACATATACATATACATATACATATACATATACATATATATATATACATATACATATATACAGGGTGTCCCCAATTTAGATGTCAAAACTTTTGGAGCGTGTAGGGGACCGATCATAGACATAGTATATCTAGACTGAGTGTTGAGAAGTGGGAGCCGAGGTGCACGTAGAAAAGGACATACTCTGTTTCGTGCCCCTTGCGTTCTCTCTCGCTCGCACGTAGCATGACGAAAGAGAGCGCTATGCTCTGTGCGAGCGAGA